GGGGGGGGGGGGGGGGAGGTACAAAATGCAAGAAACAGATGTAAATTGTTGTCAACGAGTTACGGCCCATGTTAAGGGACACACATAGCACTAAAGCGCGCAGGGCAGTGATATTTGTATCCCTTTCGTTCGAGGTTTCTTTTTCCTTCTCTCTGATTGTCTCTCATGGCATTTTTAGAATCATTTGACACAGTACACATTATCAGTGATTTCAAGAGAACATAAAAGCCTCCTGGTGGTTAATGAAAACTGCATTAAGTAATAGCACTTTTACAGACCGAAGCAGTTAACTTTGCTGGAATGAACTGATAAAATCTAAACCATGTAAACCTTAAAATATTATGGAGCATGGGTGGTCCAGGGGCGGGCGCACTACTAAAAAAACTATGATATGACGGAGATACACATAACACTGTGAAATCGGTAGCGGCGCTCTTTGTATCTTTTATAAATTGACAGAAATCAAACTCTGAGTGGTTTCAACTTGGGAGTTCGCGTAGCAGTGAATCTCATGGTAACAGATGTTTGCTTTCTCTTCTCTTTCTTACACGAACCTTGCAGCTGACTGTCCTGCTGGTTCATACAGTTCCCTGAACAGAACGTGCATCTTATGTCCTCTTGGCACGTATCAACCTTCAAGGGGGCGGCCATCTTGTATTTCCTGCGGACTTAGCCTTACCACCCATTCAAGTGGAACAGTAGACAAAAAGCACTGTATAAGTAAGTTAATAAATTCCAACTGTAATATTTCCTGTGGCGTTCGCCATATACTTGTGAATTGATGCAGTTTCTCCTTAAACTCGGCCGTTGCCATTTTAACGGTCGATGGTAACTCAGCCTTTAGTAACGTTAGATGAAAAAAAAATTCTCTGGATTAAGTTACATAAGGCAAATAATACATTTTCAAATAGTGTTAGAAAGAAGATAGTTGGAAAACAGTTTATTAGATATGTACTTCAATTTTTTGGAATTTTGGTGGGTCTAGGTAGTAATGTAAATAAGGGAGGCAGATTCACAAAGGCCCGGGTTTGATTCTGGGTTGCGTTCTTCTTTGTTTTTGTTAGAAACACTCTCAATAACAAATCAAAAATTTTCTAAGGGTACGTTCGATTGATCGTATTCCGGGATAAAAATACGCAAAAGTTTTGTCGCAGATCTCTTGTACCCTCGCTCGGTTAGCTTAATTGGATAAGGGCCGGTCTGCCGAGCACGAGTCCGCGGGTTCAAACCCCGGCCGGACCAACACTCGGAGTCATAAAATAATTGAGGAGAATGTGCTGCCTTTGTTGTGACATCTACAAATGGTTAGACATTCTAGGCTTCTCGGATAAGGATGAAAAACCGTAGGCCCCGTCTCACAGCTCTTTCACTGTTCTGATTCTTGACCATGACACTCCTTTTCTAATTAAACTGCACTGGTTACCTGTATATTTCCGAATTCAATTCAAGATTTTTTTAACTTGTTTTCAAGGCGTTAGAGGGCAAGGCGCCTGTGTAAGCTGACACTGCTGCAAGGCCCGAAAACAAAGTGTAAATCCTTTGGAGATCGAGCTTTCGCCCATTCAGGTCCATCGTTATGGAATGCCCCACCTTTGGAACTAATACTTTTTTCAAATATTGACTGTCTTAAAACCTACTTGTGCGAGAAAGCTTTTAAAACTGAATGATTTTGATTTTTATCTCTCTTTCAATGTTGCAATTAGGTAGCGCTTTAGAAAATTAAACTTAATAGCGGAGCTCCAAGCGCGAAACGCGCCAGCGGAGCACCATGGGTAAATAAATCTACCCATCCCAGAAAATTTGGTAATCACATGACCGACCGACCGTCCGTCCGCACCACAGGCATACCAATGTTTACTCTCACACTTTCTAGCTACTTTGGGAGCCCAGGAGAAAGCTGATTGCACATCAATGTTGTCATCAATTGACAGCTGTCAAAACAGGGTATCCGCTGACCAGTATCACCTGACTGTATCGCGGGCTCAGGTGTGGACCCATCAAGGTCGAGTATTTTTTGAAGTTATCCGCTGACAATTTACTCGTTTTCAAATGATCGCAGGCTCACGTCTACTTTTTTTTAAATTCATATCAAATATGTTGTGTTTATGTCAGTATCGCCAGCACTATTGCGATTTTGATTTCAAACTGACCTCAGACGCAAAAATTCAGCTAGTTTTTTTAAAATATAGGCGGGAAAGACCTTTTCTTACCATGGTCACGTGTTGGTCACGCTCCACGTCCAATTTTTATGCTCTGATTGGTTAAAATTTGACAGATGAGTTCATGCGTAAAATTTATGCAGCATCTTGAAAGTTGTTTACTTTGACAGCTGAAGCTGACAGAGGTTTGAGTCAACTTGTGATGTTTTTAACTGTCTCTTTCCACTGGATGTACAAAATGAAATACAGCTGCTATCAAGAGTGTTCTCTTATTCATGGCTGGTTTGTTTATTGGGTTTTTGGTTGAGAATGCGTCGGTTGCCAAAGCCGATAATCCGATGTCGGATGACATCGTTTTTGTTTTTCACGATGCTGGATGCGTACGAGAATTATAAAGGCTCAAGCGATCCTTGCCTTACTTGATGGCTTTCAGGAGCTGCATCTCGAAATATGGTAAGCCTGAGTAATTATTGTATTTAAATATAATTTCATGAAGTCTAGCGGCGCAGTTTATGAAGCTAGTTTATGCACGTTTGTATTAAGATTTGACTGAGACTGAGATTCTCCCATTTGATGTGCATTGCCTCCTTTAACATAAGTTGTAGTTTGTTGGGTGCACAATCCACGATGGAAAAGCAATTCTTATTAGCTAGACAACGACATGCCTGGGATTGCTGCAAATGCTGATAAACGTGTGAATTCCTGTCCCTGCTCAGATGCTCACGAACGCGCGTCGAGAGATGTCGGCTAGTCTCGCCGATGTAACAGACATTACATCCTGCACACAAAAACTTGTATACAACGCGCGAACGGAGATCGAGAGGAACAGGATCCTTCACACTAAACATACTACCAACCTTAAAAGAAGAAAAAGCTAACTTAATTTTGATGTTAGTAGCCTTTTCTGTGCTTCTCTAGTGAAGGAGCCTACATAGGGTAACTTAAAATAATAAGTTGAAACGGCTTTCTGAACCTGACAACTAGCTGATGGGCGGATTGTAGCTCTACTGACGTATCTATTGATGACCTTTTCCACCATGCTAACAGGGAAAAGGTTCTTACGTAGAATAAGGGTAAGATCTTTTATATCCTTATGAAAGCCTAGCCAAGAATTGTTGATTTTGTAAACCCTTTCCACCAGTGTTCTAACAAGACCCATTTTGTAGGAAAATGAAGTAAAACTAAAATAGTTGGTTAGGAGCCCCGTGACTTCGACTGCAAAGACGAAACATCAAATTGACTGGGACTCTGCGACATGTATAACGTATTCTACAGACTACTATCAACTTCTTACTTTAGAAAGCCACTGAATCGTAGCCAACAGTTACCAGCGTCGTACAAACGACTTATTGACGAGATCAAGCAAAACTAACTACGAGAGGACAACTGGAGAACTGACAATTTGACTAACAATAGACGACTGTTTAACTGTGACAACAGACGGATCGAAACGCACCAATCACTGATTACGAGTCTTCATAGCCAATAACATCACGGCTTAACTGACAGACGACCAATAACATCCCGACATAATTGACCGATCATATCAATAACCAGAGTAAAATACCATCAACTGACGTGATACAACTCACTTTGACTCTG